TTTGGCTTAAATGCAGTGCAAGCTTCCATACTGTGTAACCCATGTTAATACAGTACGTCTCTCTGGTTTGCATGAGAGGTTCATGTGCCTGTTGCAGCTTCTAGTTAATAGCTATATTCCTGTGCCTCAAGCAGTCGAGGCACATGGCTTTAGTTTGAGCAGTCCTGGGTTTGTTCCCCACTGATGACCCATCTGTGATATTCAATAGACTTGCATGGAATCCCCTGTGACTTTCGGTCAGGCCTCCCCCATTGCAAAGCACCAAGGTTTGCTTGAATTGATTCTGATATTGCTAACAATTAAGTGAACCTTGAAAGACAACCCCTGTTTAAACATTATAAGGGCCTGCTCCAAAGCCAAAGTGAAATCAATGGGAATCTTTCCATTGACTTCACTAGGGTTGCCAATTTTGGTTGGCTGTATTCCTGGAGGTTCCATCACCTGACATAGTCTTTAATTAAAGATTAATCTTTAATTCCTGGAGACTCCAGGACAATCCAGGCGGATTGGCAACCCTAACTTCAACAGGCTGCAGGTCAGAGCCTAACTGAGCAATCAAGAACAGGCTGCAGGCTACAAGAGATGAAGGGTGCAGCGGCGTTTCCATTGTAAACTGTATTCAAAAGCTTCCTACAACTCTTCAGCTGCAAGAATTTTGTCACCCATTGATACCTGGTGCAGGTGGCCTTGGGTCTCACGTCAGGGCATGAATATTTTTAAGGGGTGGATGAGATTCTGATACAACTGCAAAATAGAGGCATTAAAAAAAGTTTGCCACTGATTCTTGGGTAGAGAATAATGTTCTGCAGCCTCACACCGCAGACGTATTGCTGCACCTGGCATTCCTCCATTAACTCAGTTGGGCCCTGGAAGCAATAGGGCACTTTCTCAGCTGATGTGAATCACTGTCACTCCATGACTTCAGTGGTGCTAAACCAATTTCCACCAGCTGAGGAGCTGGCCCATTATCTGGGCTGCATCCTTGAGCAAACACCTTGCGAGTCTCATGACACTGCACGCTACAGGGAAATAATACAAGTTGATAAAGTACTAAGAAAGACTGAGCCATGGCCCAAGTGGGAGTGAGGCAAACAGCAGTCGGGAGGACAAGAGGCGACAGTGAAGCACAGATAAGCCCATGATTTTTGTAGCCTTGAGGCTATTGGCAGCACTATAGCTGGGCAAATACAGCAAAAACTTATGATTATTCATGTGAACTTTTAAATAGGCCTTGCGTTGATAGTTTTGCTTTGCTGGGAAGGTAATGGAGGGGTTCCCCTATCAGTGCCCCCCTCTGCTTATAAGTGAAATATGTAGCAAAGGAGAAAGGTTTCAGGTAAGAAGACCTTTGCTGACACACTGTAGTATCTCTTGGATAGTAAACTCAGTGGCCAGATGTAGCTCGGGTTTCAGGTGTATATCTCATACACAATGTGATGTTGATTGCTCACAGTGATCCGTCGGAATCATGACCCATCGTGCAGTTGGGTGAGTAACTAGAAAATAATGTCAAACTCATCCTCTAACGAGGTGACCACCATACTGCATGCCCAAAGGTTTTTCAACAGTAAGTTACCAATATTCAGAGACCTCTTCTCTCAGGTGGACAGAGCCTTTGTGAAAAGAGGCCCTTGCTACAACAGAGATCTTCTATGTGTAATGTACTGAAACCAGCTACTCAAAGACTAAAACTGATGCCTGGGACTGAAATATTGTCCATTTACTGACAACAGAAAGTGAATCAGAGGATGAAAACAATGAAGGTAAAAATGGAAGACTCTCCAGCGTGGTTCCTAGAACATCACTCAGAAATGCTTTGAAGCAATAAACCATGGGGAAATATTGGGACAGTTAGCAAAACGAAAGACTACAGAGCGCTTACGTACCCATGTAATGAGTGCTGTGTGCACATTCTTTTAGTGGAGTCTTATACAGAAAATATTTGGGCACCTAAAATAATTTTTCTTTGCAGTGTAGTTGTAGCCATGTTGGTTCCAGGCTATGAGAGAGACAAGGTGAGGGAGGTAACCTATTACCTCCCCCACCTTGTCACTACAGTTTTGAGTTGTTTGAGTACAATCCTGTGTTAGAAGGCTACTTCTGCTAAGGAACTGATTTTTGTTGCTGCCTCCAGTGCTCTTTTCAGACAGATGAGCCGATACATGGGACCTGCTGCCATCCAGCAATCATGGAATTATCAGCTGTTGTTATTCATCACCAAGGGAGATGGAAACATTGCAAAGACACTATTCAGCGCCAGCCAGGAGCATCTTCCTCTCTGCTGTCCGCTCCATCCTGCTGCTGACTCCCTCCCGACACCTCCACTTTCCTGCCACAACTTTCTGACAAAGTATCTCTCACTCTCTCTGCTCCATCATCCCCTAAATCAAGGGTGGGCAAACTTTTTGGCCTGAGGGCCACATCCGGGTATGGAAATTGTATGGTGGGCTATGAATGCTCATGAAATTGGGGTGCAGGAGGGGGTGAGGGCTCCACTAGAGGTGTGAGCTCTGGGGTGGGGCTGGGGATGAGGGATTTGGGTCACAGGACAGTGCTCTGGGCTGGGATTGAGGGGTTCGGAGGGCAGGAGGGGAATCGGGGCTGGGTCCCAGCCAATGGGAGCTGCAGGGGCAGCGCTTGGAGTGGGGGCAGCGTGCGGAGCCCCCTGGCTGCCCCTATGCATAGGAGCCGTAGTGGGGACATGCCGCTGCTTCTGGGAGCTGCGACACACGCGTGCGGAGTGGCCCCAACCCTGCTCCCCAGCAGGAGCTCGATGGTTGGATTAAATCGGATGTGGCCTGCAGGCTGTAGTTTGCTCACCCCTGCCCTAAATTCTTTCCAACAGCACTGCTCATCCCACAAACAGCTGCTGTACCCCAACACCCCATAAGTCCTGCCAGCACCCTCTTAGCGCTGCTCACCCTCCTTTCTGCAGCTACATACCACAGCCAGTGCTCCTGCTCTCTTACTGTGTGGCTGCCCTAGCCAGATCACTCTTGTCTACATGGGGAAATTAACCAGGATACCTACTATAGCATTGCTCTCCAGGTGGGCCCACTTATTCCAGTATTAAAGTGTTTTTTTCTGGTATAGCTTAAACCCCTTCCAAAGTGACATACGCTAAACTAGAAAAAGGCTCTCTTAGACTGGAATAAGAGTGTCCACTTAGGGCAGATCTTCACTACGGGGGGGTGTGTGTCGATTTAAGATACGCAAATTCAGCTACGCGAATAGCGTAGCTGAATTCGACGTATCGGAGCCGACTTACCCCGCTGTGAGGACGGCGGCAAAATCGACCTCCGTGGCTCCCAGTCGACGGCGCTTACTCCCACCTCCGCTGGTAGAGTAAGAGCGTCGATTCGGGGATCGATTGTCGCGTCCCGACGAGACGCGATAATTCGATCCCCGAGAGATCGATTTCTACCCGCCGATTCAGGCGGGTAGTGTAGACCTAGCCTTAGAGAGTTATACCAGTATAACCATATTGGTTTAAATTCACACCCTACCTTATATTGAAATAACCTTTTCATGTAGACATGTCCTAAGGCACCTCTACTGTGCAATTTACTAGGCTCTCTTCTGGTACCTTCAAAACAGTTGTGGGAGCAGTTTAGGTGAGAAGTTATTAATTTGCAGATGAAATTATGCTATCCGCTACCTAGACTTCCAAACGTGTCCCTGCTCCCTTCCCACAAACAGTGTTTTAAAAAAATCAAATCCCTAAAACATAATTAAACCAAATACTTTGAACTGAATCCAAATGCAGAGCTGGGGCCAGAGTCTTCTCTTGCTTCCCTTAGTGCATATGCTGTTGCCAGCCTCTACCCTTCCAGAGGCTTATCTGAATCTCTCACCACCCTGCGAGGTTTTCCCATCCAATGCGCATTTAGTACATCCCATCCTCTTGGTATAAATCATCATCCTTTTGCCCTAGCGCCAATCACTATAATCGACATCCTAGTCCCTCACTTTACACAATACTACAGTTGCTAGCTACATAAACCCCTCGTAATAAATAATTCATTGTTTCCTAGCTGAGAAAGAATCAGGAAACCAGTGAAAAGATTCCAATACATTTTAATTTCAATATTGTAATTGACTTTAAAAAAACAAAACAAAACTGGTGCCTTGTACAATAGGGGCCTGATCCAATGTCCATTGAAGTCAATGGGGGGAGGGGTGTCTTTCCATTGAGTTCCATGGTGATTAGCTCAGGCTGTAAGTGAAGGGAGAAGAGATGCAATGAATGTAATCCCACCGCGGAACATCTGGGCATGCATCTGGTTTAAACATGACTGGGCATAAACCTCCCTCTTCTGTCTGGGTGAATGAGGATCTGACCACAGCATTCAGTCAGAAGCAGGAGATACTGGATAGCTAACAACAGCCTGTGTTCTAGACTGAACAGCTTCAGATAATAATGTTGATTGGTACATATATGGTGCCTTTCATACAAAGAATGCAAAGCACTTTACAAAGCAGTCCCTGCTTTACAGATAAAAATCAACACACACGCAAGTAGCATGGTTTCCCCTCTGATTGCAGTGTAAACATACCCCCGGTCTCTTGGTCTAACTAGTAGATCACACTGCTTCAAGGGAATATTTATCCAAATGAAAAAGAAGATTCTGGGGGCTTTTACTAAATCATGACTGGGGAAAGGTGGAGAACAACAATTTTGCTGTCAAGCCCTCGCTGACGAGTTGAGAGAAGTTCTCTCTAAACACAGCAGGAAACTGGATATTTTGTTTACCCCACCCCAGTTAGGCTAGTTATTTTGATAGCTCTGTAGTGTATGCATTTCAGATTGTTTGGTAAGAGGCAGATGCTGCAGCTGAACATGCTGTTAGAGAGAATTATTACAAGACCCGATCGAAATTTTCTCACTGAAAGATTTTTTTCAACAAAAAATGGCTTTTTGACCAAAACAAATTTTTCCACAAATATTTTTACTGTGGTTAAAATGTTTATTTTGGTTGAAAATTTTTTTTTGAGAGTATAACTTCCCCGTCCTGCCCAAGTGCGCAAAACAGGTTCTCATAAAAACAATTGGGTTTTGAAAACCAAACATTTTTTTAACTAAAAATTGTTTTTGAAGACTGAAAAAATTTTGGTTTCATTTTTTCAATGAGAGACGAAAAATTTCAGTGGGGAAACATAAAACTATAAAAACAATTTTAAAAAACAATTTCCCGTGAAAAATAATTGTCATTTTTTGACTAGCTCTAAGTTATCACACTACTGAATACTCTAGATGTGAAGGCCTTGGGGTTTAAGAAAACATGGAGATAACATCTTATTTATCTCAATATTCCCCTTGTAATGAGTCTGTTCTTTCAGTATTTCCTAGGATACAAACAGAAGAGCACAAATCAGGTAATGCTCATTGACACCAAAAGAACATCTGGCACTGACTTCTATGGAGCGATGTCAGTTTACACAGCAGAGGCTGTGGCCCATTGAGTTTATACATGCACGTGTGGTATATCTATCTATCTATCTATCTATCAACATCTCTATCTGCACACATGGTAGGTCAGAACCGATATGAAGTAGTAGGATTCCCTCCTCTCCTTTCTCAGGAAGAATTTTCCTTTCTATTCACTAATTTCATGTTGAGAGCCTTAAAATTGTTGATTAGTTAAACATCAGAAAAACAGCAAGAAGGAGAAGAGGGAGCGCAAGTATTCTAAGCAAATTCAAGACGGGGAAATGTTTCTGAGAATCATGTACGACTCGGGTCCTCGTAGCCTTCAGCGTCCGGTCCCACTGGGTCAGGATGGCATTTCTGGCTCCATCCCACTTCCCCGGTCCCATCAGACAAAACTGGTATGGACTGCATGGGCCAAAGTACACTTCCAGGGCCAGCCTTGGATCCGTCAGGAACAGCAGTGGAAAATTGGGCTTCACACCAATAGCAGAGGCGAGTTCATCCATGTAGGAAATATAATCTGTCTGTAGGGTATTGCTCTGCCCATACCTTAAGGTGGGAAGGGAGAAGATATAATACATTGCTGAGTACAGTATTGTTGTACTCAGTATTGTTGTAGAAAAAAGGCATTTGGTTAATGGACACAAGGTTAACTCTGCACTTCTATATGGTGGTAGAAGGGATAGCTACACCTTGGAGTATATCTATTGTTGCTGTGATGCGGTATGCTATTGTTGCACAGAAATACTGCGGCAAACACATTTAACTCGCTGCAATCTTACGTCTCATTGCCTCAGTGAGAGTTTTCCCTGAGTGAGGGTTGCAGGGACTGGGGCTGCTCTGAATAAGCTACTTCTAAGACCTGTTCATAAGGGGTGATTTCATGTGTTTGATATACAGCATTGGACTGTGACTGGATTACATCTGAAAAGGGCCAGTCTGATACTGCTGGAGAGTGAAGCCTTATATTTGTTAACAGAAGACATGCAGCGTGGACAACTACAGTGTAGGTCCGTCCCCGTCCCCCCCCCCCCCCCAAGCCCCTCACTTGTGTGCTTCATCTGGGAGCTGGTGGGCCCTGTTCCAAGGGTGAGAAGGTATTCTGTTCTCAACCTTGGCCTCTGTGCTGCAGGTGTCACTAAAGCAGCCAGTGTAACGGGCCTAATGGGGGGGATTTGGAATCCAAGCAGGAAAGAGAGGCAGAGGCAATCTAGAGGTCAAATTATGTTTTATCTCAATCAGTTGGGGAAATGTAGAAATCAGTTAAGTGGCGAATAATCACAAGTAAATCAGTTAGTTGTTTTAGCAGGAACTACTATTTAGGGTTACGCCGTAACCTACGGTAAACAATCACTGTTATCTACTGTCTATTGACTATCACTATCTTAATTAAACTCTTGTTATAGGCAATAATTAATGAAATAACAGAATTTTGAATTAGAAAATACAATGCACCAGAACATAAACCCCACCATTGTATGTTCCCTGGTCAGTTTCTTATTTGCAGCCTCTGTAAGCCCAGGGTTTGGAGTAGAGATTCTTAGGATGTTTAGTTATATATTGAGCAAGTCTCTTGTGCAATCTTTGTTCACTGTTCTAAGATTCAGCTTAAATAAAGGCATGTATGTACTCCTTGATGCGATGTGCTGGCTTCTTGATTGAACAATTCTCTCTCCCCTCCTTTCTGGCTTACAGTCCCTTTGCTCAGACATTTTCTCTATTCCTGTCACTTCACCTCATCTACCTTAAGATGTTTTGTTTTACATCATTATTATTTTCTTACTTGCGCTACAGCTCACTTCCTCCTTGTTTCTTAAGTTTGTGTCCCTTTAATTAGAGTTTATCTTTTACTGCTGCTTATTTCCCCCACATTCATTCTTGCTTTACCTTTCTCACAGTTTTCTAACACTCTTTTTCTAATAATTTCTTAGATTACTTAGAGACATAGTCCTTTTTCCTCGTTTAACTGCACTTTTCTTCCTTTAACTTTTCCTCTTTTCCCTGTGTACCACTATCTTGCCTCTTTCTAGGTCCTGTCCCTGTTGTGGCTCTCCCTTCTCTTCTTGTGATCTTTGTCTTTCTTGCCCTTCCTGAACTGGACTTTCTTCCTTTCAGCTCTGTTCCTATTGCCCCTCCGATGATGCAACTTAGCCTATCCATTGGCTCCCCACTTCCTGCATCCCTTCTTCTCTGGTGCCAGTCACTGCCTCACTCACTACTAGCCTTGCTCTCTTCCACTGCTCTTTTGCCCCAACAGCCTTCAGTGCAGATGTGGTGTTACACCAGCATGACAGGGGTACTCTGCACTATTGTGGCCCTGAGGCCCCAAACTCTTTCTATTCTATGCCTTCTTGGATCCTGAGGACACATCCCATGGCAACACTACGATCTGGCTTTGTAAGGGATGCAAAAGCAAGTACTTTGGCTGGCAGGATTACTACAAATAAGACCACACTCTATTAACTCCAGCAACAGTTGTCCATTTGTTATAGATCATGTGATTCTCTCACCTCATATGTTAAAGGTGACGTAAGCTCGTGAGCAGATAGGCAGAGTTGCCAACTCTCCAGGATTGTCCTGGAGTCTCCAGGAATTAAAAATTAATCTTTAATTAAAGATTATGTCATGTGATAAAACCTCCAGGAATTTGTCCAACTGAAATTGGCAACCCCACCAGCCAGGGAGTTCAAATAAAGCCCTAACGCTAGTTCAGTTCAAGTCCCTTTCTTCAGGGCCAGCTTTCTCAACAGAAAGAAGATTCCAAAACAGGATCAAAGTAACAGAGAACACTTGGTAACAACTGACAGCTTTCCAGCTGACGGCAAGCTGGGAGGGGAGAGGACATCTCCTGCACTTAGGTAGGCTCTCTTGCGACAGCTTCCCTTTCTTTTATAGCCCCACCCTGAATCAATCACATAATGGGCAGAGAACCAGAGGGAAGTCGTGAAGATCAAAGGTATAACTGGGTTCAAAAAAGAATTAGAGAAGTTTCTGGAGCATAGGTCCATCAATGTCTTTAGCCAGGACAGCCAGGTATGCAACCCCATGTTCTGGGTGTACCTAAACCTCTCACTGCCAGAAGCTCGGAGTGGATCACTCCATAAATTTCCCTGTTCTGTTCATTGCCCCGAAGCACCTGGCACTGGCCACTGTTGGAAGACAGGATATTGGGCCAGACAGACCTATGGTCTGACGCAGTATGGCCATTCTTATTTTCTGCTTGTAACCCCTTCCATGAGTTAAGGAGTGCCTGTATACTTTGTCCCTGGTGAGAAGATGCCTATAATAATGGACTGTCCCCCCAGACTGGAACTAACCTTGCTGGTCGGGAACTGAATTTGCATTTTGCAGGGAATTCCATGATTTTGAAAAAATCATTAATTCTGAATTGGAATGAAATGTCAAATTTCAAAATTTGCCGCAAAATGAAAATTTTTAGCTACAGATCAAGGTTGTATTTTGATTTTGACTCTGTTTTATGTTGACGTTTATAAAATAACACAAAAATGTAAAAACATTAAAAACTTAACATAAAATAAAAATAAATACATTTCAAAACAAAAAGTAATTTCAAAATTGAAAACTCAGAAAGTTCCAGTCCAATAAGGCTGGATTTTGACTGTCAGAAATGACACACTCTCATGGAACGTTTCAAGTTTAACAGATCCACATTTTCTGACAGAAAAACGCCCCACTGGAAATTTTTTGACCAGGTATGTACGCAATACAACTCCTGCCGAAGTAAAGGGAAATGCTTCTATTTACTTTAATGAGGGCTGGGTCAGGCGTGTAAACAGGATTCTCCACCATTCTGAGGGCAGCTATGCACTATCAGAGTGAGAGAGGTTCAGAACAATGGGGTGTGTGTGTTTGGGGGGTGCTGAATGCTTGTTGAGGAGGCCACAGAGTTTTTAATGATCCTGAACCTGGTGCTGCAGAAGTTTTTTCTCTGTTATATTTGTTCGGTGGGCCAAATAGGGGAGAACCCAAGTTCCCAGGCTGAGGAGAGCACGTGATATACAATATTTGGGATGTGTGCTGGGGTGGGAAGTGGGAGTTTAAAAGAGTGGCTCCTTGGAAAAAGCCACTTGCTTATTGGATGGCAGGTTGTCATAATGTATCGGACAGAGCGTATGCATTACAGAGATCAGACCATAACATTATGTCGGGTTTATACAGAAAAGACAGGCCGTGGTGGCCTTTTTCATGCACCCAGAACACGGAGGGCTACCTGAGAAGTGCACTTTGCACATACCATTTGAGCTTTTTCCCCATTTTTTCATCAATATCTTCCATCATGTCATTCACTGGGGGAAGCTTATATAACCCTAGAAAAGAACAGGTACAAGGTCACTAGTTTATTCCATCTCCTAATTAATAAGATACTCTTCCAGCCCCTCACCCATGCACTCAGTTAAACCAGCCATACTCCCACTGATCTACAACTTCTGGGGTGAGCAGGCCTAGCAAATCCCATGAGGTCTGCAGGTGCACAAATGAACGCCTGCTTCTCTTTTTGGACCAGATCCCCAGCTTGAATCTGCAAGGAATTATAGGTTGCATAGCAATGCTAGTTCTCACAGACAAGCTCATCTGGGACAGTTCTCCGCCCCCCTATTTCCCTTCACCTACCCTTAAACACCCTTATAGCCCAGCGAGCTTGGAGATCTGATGTTGGAATAATTGCACCAAGCGACTGGACCAGGCCAATGACAGCCATGGTTGGCTTCTCGAGTCGAGGAGGAAGGATGCCCTTGTACAAAGTGACCTCGTTGTCTCTGCATTTGATGATAGCGTTGTCTTCCATGAAGGGGTAGGAGTAGCTGTAGCCTGTTGCAAAGATGACAAAATCAACGTTTTCCTGCACAGTCCCATCCTGAAATATAGCTGAGGTTTCCGTGAATTCCTTCACATTGGGTTTCACCACCACTGTTCCACATGTGATGCGGCTTGGGAGATCATCATTGAACACTGGCTCTTTACGGCTGGTTCTATAAAGAAAGAAAAGCACAGAAGCCTGTAGTGGGGGGAAGGATAGCCCAGTGGTTTGAGCATTGGCCTGCTAAACCCAGGGTTGTGAGTTCAATCCTTGAGGGGGCCATTTAGGGAACTGGTGTAAAAAAAAAAAAAAATCTGTCTGGGGATTGGCCCTGCTTTGAGCAGGGGGTTGGACTAGATGACCGCCTGAGGTCCCTTCCAACCCTGATATTCTATGATAAAGTGCTTCCTGGCTAGGAGAAGCAGAGAGATCACTGTGTTTCTGTATGCGAATGTCAGGAAAAGGCACTAACCCTTTTTCCTTGAGCCTATGGTTACCCATCGCCAGCGCTCCACAGTAGAAATTCCTGTACTTGCCAGCTTGCTACCTCCCAACACTAGTGCTCAGGCATGAGCTGATTTACATGGCATTGCTGGAGTACCTCTTCTTTTATTTGTAATGTAAGGCTGCAGACAGGATCACTTTAGCAATGAAGGGTTTTATCCTTTAAAGCTCAAGGAACCGTCTTTCTCATAGTAATCGCTTTAAGGCTGAATAAATAATTCGCAATTAATTTAGAATCTTTCTTTTGCTTATGGGATATCCATGAATGGATCACGATTTCCTCAGAATCTACCATTTTAAATTATTCAACAGTCTTTTTTTGTGTTTTAAAAATACCCAACCTATGGCTGGATTGGAAACAGTGCTTCGCAAGTCGTTTGTATTCTAAATTTGCTATTTGAACCTAGATTTGGTCAGATAAGTCACATGGTATTGTTTGTGTTCCCTGGTAAACTGGGGCATAAGTAATTCTGGCATGAATGCTCATAGGCATGAATTTAAAAGCCAGTTTCCACAAACAGGTCTGCATGCAATTTTGAAGTTTCCTTTACAAAAATATTGGTACCAATAAACTCATTTTTGTGGGACAGGGAAACATCGTTTGGTCTGTGTTTGTACAGCACCCAGCACAATGGAGTCCTGAGCCAGGACTAGGGCTTCTAGGTACTACTGTGATACACATGATCAATGAATATTTGTGAGAGACAAAACACATAAATATTGACAAATCAAATTCATTTAAAATTTGAATAAAACAATTTTTTTTCAGTATTTGGCCAACTTTGAGTTCTAATAATCTGGACACTATCTTTTTATATGTATTATAATTGACATTTAATTATGAGAGAAACAAGGTGGGGGAGGTAATATCTTTTATTGGACCGACTTTCTGCTTGTGAAAGAGAGAAGCTTTCATGCTACACCTAGCGTTTCTGGTCTGGAAAAGGTAATCCGGTGAACATTCTGATGACCTCTTCCATATTGAAGAAGAGCTCTGTGTAAGCTTGAAAGCTTGGCTTTTTCACCAATAGAAGTTGGTCCAATAAATGATATTTTCTCATCCATCTTGTCTCTCGCAAATCCTGGGACCTCATGGTTGCAACAACACTGCATACATCACATAATTACAGCTGTTCCTTGAAATAGGATCTGCTAACTCACTTTTGAGATTTGGTGACATCACTGTAGTAGTGTATCTAGTTGAAAAAAAACCCTATTGTTGCCAGGGTTTGAGTTACTCTACCCTAAACAATGAGATTGGGTCCACTGATCTCCATATACTGGACAACGTATGGAATACTGCACGTTTCCCATTCTTTCAGCTAGAGCTAAAACTAAGATCATCCTCGTGGTGCAATGAGGTTTAAAAGCAAAGTCTGTCCAAACATGGACTTCACTGGCATTCTGAAGTCCCTGCCAACACATGGGGCGTTTCAGAAGTAAATTAATCCTTGAATTACCTACTAAAGGTAGTGATGTGTTTTTGGATTTAGGCAAAGACGTGGACGTTGTTTAGAAAAGTATGCAGTGTAATTGTAGCTGTGTCAGTCTCAGGATATTGGGGAGACAAAGTTGGAGGAGGGAATATCTTTTATTGGGCCAACTTCTGCTGGTGAGAGAGACAAGCTTTCGAGACACACAGAGCTCTTCTTCAGTGTAAGCTCAAAACTGTCTCTCTCACCGACAGAAGTTGTCTCTCTAATGGCTTAGGAAAGACATTGCTGTACTGGACCAGACCTAGCCCTGATAGTTTGGAGTCCCATCTCCAACAACGATGCATGAGCGCATAGCAAACTAGCCATGTGCACCTCTCCGGTTGCATAACTCTGAGTCCATATGGATTAGAAGGGACGGAGGATTCCTTTCCTACTCTTGCAAGCAATCCATATGGCTCCTGAAGCGTGAGATTTCATTCACTTGTCCTGTGCTCTTATTTTTAAGCTAACCTGCTATAAACCTGCTGCCTGATGAGAAGAAAGTACATTGATGCTACCAGTAGAGTGCAACCGGGACACCACTGTGCTGCCTTTTCAAAGCTGAGCAAGGCTTTGCCTTCCTTCCCAAATGCTTTGCAGGGAGAATCCCATAAAATTACCTGTTCAAAGGCATCAGGCCGTAGTTCTCATGCTTAAACCACTTGTTCATCCTCCTCACGTACAGCCAGTCGCTGACGGAGGTGGGAAGGGTATCCCTGAGAAAGGTTTCAAAGCGAGTCACAGTCAACATATCCCAGGGGTAGCCATTGTCCCAGACGCGACTCATCACCCAGGAGCCGCTTCTAGAGCTGAGATAAACCTAAAAAAAAAAAAAAAAAAGGACAAAGCAGGGGGAGGCCATTACCATTCTAGAAAGGCAACTACAGCAGAGTGATCACTGGTAGAGGCCTCTTCACCACTTCAGTGCTCCAGTTTTACACCAGTGTCACCTCACGGACTTCACTGCACTTACGTTGGGGTAGAACTGGAGTGAAGTAGTGGTGAATCAGGCCCACTTCACACTCCTCCAGCTCCAACCCAGAACTGGTGGGAAGATATACTGCAAAGAAGTGTACATTGCGGGAGTGACACCTACAGTGCTATGCGCTTGGCCTGCTCTTGATTACAATTTGTGCCACGTAATGTATTCCTCCGGCATGCGACCATTCTAAGCTTATGTTAAGTGTATGAACTTCAAAGCCACCTAGAAGACCTGGATGCCTATTCCCATTAATTGGGTGTCCAAATCCATGATGAGACAGCTTTGAAACCCTCAATTATTGTACCTCAATAATGAGAACTAGCAACTCCACAGCAAGACAGGGAATTGTACCTGTGAGGCCGTGTGACTGAGTTCCACAGCAATGTCTGAACCAGAGTTTCCCAGTCCAATCACAAGCACTCTCTTCCCCTTGAATTTTTCCGGTTCCTTGTATTCCCGGCTGTGGAAGTAGCTACCTTTAAACGTCCTTAACCCTGAGGAAAAGTGGAAAGTAAAATGAGTTCATCTGGATATTTAAAGGGATAGATTTTACCCACTTGCAGCTGGACCCCTTTGCAGTAATTTGTGGGGTTCGGCATTTAGTCTCTATCTGATTTCCACAGCAGATTTGCTCATTTCACAAGTCACAAAAAGGATGGTTCAAACTACTCGTGCTACAAACTCCTCCTAGGATTTGATAGTTCAAGGGGGTTCTTTTTTGCCTTGGAAACAGTCTAAGGCACAGGACCAGGAGCCAGTAGTGCTGGTTCCGTGTCCAGCTCTTCCACCTTGTCTAGTTTTTCAAAGTTCTGACCACCTGCAGATGGAGTGGTGGGTGCTCAGCAGCTGTGCAAATGAGACCCATCACCCCTCTGAGATTCAGTCTTCTCAACTGTAAAATCATGTACGGTGAGGCTGAATTCACTCACACTGGTAAAGAATGTTGAGACACTTGGACAGAAAGCACTTCGTAGATGCAAAGCATCCTCATCCTCACCAGGCATAAAGGTTCTGCCACAGCATCTTAGTTGATTGCCATGTCAAGAATCCAGTTACTCCAATGAAATTGCAGATAATAGAAGCACTCAGAGGTCATTGAGAGCAGAATCTGGCCCTGCACATTTTGCAGTGAGACTTCCAACCCCAAGACAAGAGAACACTTGCTTGCATAAAAAAACATTGCATTTGAAAATAGGCCTTGATCATTTGAGAGGATCTGAATTGTTAACATGAACAAAGGACAGAACAAAATCCCCAGAAACACCCTCTCCAAGTTGTTCTAAAGAGATTAATCCTGTGCCTTCGTAATGCCCTGCCAAATAGTAAAATTTGATGACTATACCATTGCATAATGTTTCTCTAAACAAAAAGCTGGGGCTTATATAACGTAATTGCTAACATTGTACTTGACAATTATATGGTCTTGGTTTTTAATACTGCTTATAGTTCTGAACTAAACAGTTATTAAGAAGGTTTGGCAAGTTTTTAAAGCTATAATTAGAACAAGTTGAAAAATGCTTATTTTTTGTGGGCGACAAGGTGGGCGAGGTGATATCTTATATTGGATCAACTTCTGTGGGTGAGAGAGATGAGCTTATGAGCCACACAAAACTCTTATGTAGGTCTGCATGGCTCGAAAGCGTCTCTCTCACAACAATAAAAGATATGACCTCCCCCACCTTGTCTCTCTAATATCTTGGGACTGACACAGCTACAACTACAAGGAATACAACATATTTTTTGTGTGAAATTGTAAAATTATTTTACACAATTTTCTGCAATTTTGTTTTGAATTTCCTATGAAAGAGAGGAAACTGAAATGATTTTGTTTTCAAAAAATCATTATTAGTACAAATTTTCAGGTTTTGGTGAAGTTTTTGAAAACTGAATTCATTTCCAAAAATTTAGTTTTTTCAATTAAAAAACCTCCTCAATGTGCTGATGAAAATGTTTTGACTAGTCCTTGCTGTAATATATGCATTGCACACACACAACTCACCAGGGAAGCAATCAACTGGGAAATTTGGATACACATGATGCCCCGAACAAACCATAACCGCATCAAATACAGCTGACTCTTCCTTCCCGTCCTGTTTTGTAATAACATCCCACTGTCCGGTGACAGGGAAATCGGGGCGTTTTTTTATACTGCTGACCATAGTCTTAAAAGAAACAAACACATGAGTTTGTATTCATCGGCACACGATTCTGCAGGCAGATAGCTTTGTAAATGTCATCGGTCTTACTGGATTCACAGTAGAGAGCTGGGTGAAACCTTGCTCCACTAAACTCCATAGGAGTTTTGCCATTGACTTTAATAGGGCCAGGATTTCACTCTGGAATACATGTGTAAGAGCTAATGAACTGGCCTTGACCCCAATAACAACATGCCAAATTATTTTGATTTTCCTGCCTGGCGTTCCCTTACTGCTTCGCCAAAGCGACACCTTACAAAGATGGAAGTCAGTTACAGAGATGTGTTGTCAGTGATGTACCATTCTTAGAAGGTAGGTTCTTTGGGGCAAGGACTGTCTCTCTGTTCTGTGTTCGTACAGCTCCTAGCACAACGGGGTCCTGGTTCATGCCTGGGGTCCTAGGTGCTATTGCAATAAAGATAAATAATAATAATCACTTTGATCTGGGTGACATTTTGGAATCAGAGTTGGACAAATGTAGCCTTTTGGTATGTGTTCACCCAATAGCAGACTGATTTTCACAGGTTTGTTCATTATTAAATCTCAGTCAATTAATGCTTCAGGTAAATTTCAGCCCATGAATGGATTGCTCAGGACCAGTTCTTTGCTATACTTAATTCACTGTTCTCGCTGTGTGATGTCATCTAAGCCACACGGGATTGTTTTGATTGGATGACCGAAACATTTATTTTATAAACAGGAGGAAGGCTTAACTTGTATTTAAACCCTGTGTGTCTCCTGTCTAACATTCAGTTACTCCACCACCAAAACACTGTGTAGATAGAAGCCAGACTCAGAGGGGATGTTTTGAGAAGCACAGTGTGACCCATTTGCCCTTACCAGCAGACAGACTGATTATATTTGTTCGTTGCTCTGAATTAGTCAGTTAAGGCCTGATGGTACTCATCTAACGAGGTCAGCAAGGGTAGAACTCCAGCCTCTGCCCTCAGAGGAATAAAGGACTGGGAGTGAGTTATTCCGCCACTAGGAGCCACTCTTCTAATGGGGACAGGAAGTAGGTAAAGCCATGATTCCGGCCCACCATGCACTGGCCTTAGCAGCTCTAAGTCTTACCTTGAACTTTATATATCTTAAAAGAGCAAAGTGCTTGGCATACATCCTGATGTACTCTTGGAGCTTTGAATTGTGCATGTAATTTGGAAAATCATCAGGGAAAGGGAAGTCAGGGAAACACATCATTTCTTTGCAGGAGTTGGTGAACACGGAGCGGTAAATGCTGGCTCTACCTTCCTCGGCATGTTCCTACAGAGAATAATAATAATTAACAAAACAGCAAAAACATCTGCACAGAAGGTGACTGCAAGACTTGCTGTAACATGGTGGAGATTCACTCACTAAAGAATTAGCTACAGAGACACAATTCTCAGCTTACCTGGGATGCTTCATCCAGCGTTCCTGCACACGTAAGATGAGAAGCGTGAGCTGATGATGAGTTACAGTGTGCTACCAGTGTTGCCAACTTGCAACATTTTGTGTTTATCTTAAAGCCCCAGCTCCTGGAAGCAAGTGATGACATGAGAATCTAATCTTTCATTTTTTAACAGAGTAAGCTGTAGCCCACGGTTGCAGAGAAAAGCTTGAAAATGTGACCTGAGTGTCCCCTGGAGGCAAGTAAGAAGAACCCCAGATTTACCATTTAAAAAAAATCATGATTTTTATGCCAATCTCGTGATCTTTTCAGGTCTGATTTATGATTTTTGAACACCTGGGGTTAGCAACACTGGGTTATTTGGAGACGTGCCATTGTAACCCATGGTCCGTGTGCATGCCATCTTCCGCTCTCTATCTGGGTAAGTCTGCTTTGACTCTTCAGCTCCAGGTGGGGAAACTCATCCTTTTAGCTCCAGAGGTACCTGCCTGGTTTGAACTCCAGTGTGCTAGTCAAAATGTCGGCTATCCCACAATTACAGAGAAATACGCTACAAGGTCAAAATTCCCATTGACTTCAATGGGAGCAGGATCAGACCCCTAAGCCCCGATTCTACAAGGCACTTAAGCACATTTTGCTGAATAGGGGTGGACTTGAGTATGACTTCAAATTAAGCAGATGCTTAAATCCCATCTTCAATGGGATTAAAATTAAGTGTGTGTTTTAGTGCTTTGCTGAATCAGGGCCCATGTTTTTACCATGTAATTACAGAGTACAGAATTCACCAGCCAAATCCTAACAAGGACGGACAGAAATGTTTGGTATAAAAATAAATCCAGTCAAGAAAGAGGACTCTAAGTTTTAATATAATAGATGTGCAGAAGTGCTGCTGCCTTCTCCAATCCTATGCTCCTTTCATAGCGCCTCTCAGATTCTATCACAGGCAGGGAAGAAAGAACATACGCATAACTTCAAATCAATACTCTTTAAAACAAAGTTGGAGGGAGTGTTGTCTAGGGAAGGTGACCAGGAACCAGGACTTGAGTTATATTCCCAGCTCTGCCACGGGACAGCTGTGGAACTTTGGGAAAGTTACTTCACTGCTGAGAGAGACAAGGCTGCTGTGACTCAGTTTCCCCATCTATAAAAGGGGAATAATAATACTATGCTAGCTAAGATCACTTTGAGATACTCAGATGAAAGACACTAAACAGATGCAGACTATTATAATCAACTCCTCCTCCATTTACTGGCCGAGACCACAGTTCAGGTCTTCAGGAGGTCTGTGGTTTCTTTGCTGCAGAGAGCTGCTAACATAAAACCAAAGCTCAAAGCAGGGCAAGGAATTTGGCTCCCCATCCCCTCTGCTCCACCAACACCCCCTTCCTTGTCTGCTTGTTCGTCAGATTTTTGCACAATCCCCTCCTTCTTCGCAGCCACCTATGCCTGGTTCAACCTCTCTGAGCTCATCCACAAGGCCCCACCTGTCCCTATTTAAAGACCCACTTTTACTGCCCCCACTCTGAGAGCTAGGATGACAAAATCACACGTGTCTTGACTGTGATCCGAGGCAGGATTTCAACTCAGGCTTTCAGAGGGACAAGGGTAGTGCCTTAATCAAACTCCCTTTAATACGAACATGAGAGTTCGGTATGTGGAAAATGCAGAAAATTAAGAACATAAGAATGGCCATACAGGGTCAGACCAAAGGTCCATCTAGCCCAGTATCCTGTCTTCCGACAGTGGCCAATGCCAGGTGCCCCAGAGGGAATGAACAGAACAGGTAATCATCAAGTGATCCATCCCCTGTCGCCCATTCCCAGTTTCTGGCAAACAGAGGCTAGGGACACCATCCTTGCCCATCCTGGCTAATAGTCATTGATGGACCTATCCTCCATGAACTTATCTAGTTCTTTTTTGAACCCTGTTATGTGTGGCTATTTGGCTTTGTCTGCTGGTGAAATGCAAAGGTCTAATGCGACCCTATTGAAATTAGTGCTAAAAATCCCATTGATTCCAGTGGGTGCAGGCTGTGGCTGGAGTTGGTTAGGATGATGCAGGGGGAACTAGCTGGGAGAAATAGTATGTAATTTAGAAAAAAAGAGTTGGACTGAACAGCCTGACAGATCTATTTTGTTGTGTACTAGTCTCACAGGGGAAGTGGTGCATGTCATGATATATGGAATCGCCGACTGTCTTCACCGGGAGGCATTTATTAAAGAAAACAGCTACATGTTACTGAAAAACAAACAGGCTTCCACACAGCTTGAGTTCCAGTCTTGTCTCTCCCGTTCACCATGGGGTGGGTTTCAGAGACAGAGCTCCAGCCCAAGCCAGAACGTCTACGTGGCTATTTTTAGTGCTGTAGCCTGAGCTACGAGATTCTCTGCCATAGGTTTATTTTATTTTTTGCTGTATAGGCGTACCTAGAGACAATGAATGGCTGAATATCATACTGCCACCTATTACAGGGCAAGCACTAATCTCCTAGGAGGTTTAAAACTTGACCAAGGCATTGAGAAATAAAACGGGTGGGAAGAATCTTGCATTGGCAAGATGGGGATACAGTAGATAGCCCCACTGATACTTATGTGCTAAGCACTAATTTGATCGGTAGTCGGGAAGTTGCCAGTGACCTAAGGGTTAAAGTAGGCCGTTGCCAATTCATGCTGAGTGTTTAAAGTTACCTGATATGTGTGCATTTGTACTTGTGCTCTGCAAATGGGAATGTGAAGTAAGAAGGGTTATGTAATGAAAACAGAACAAAACACATAGCTCCCTATTAACAGGCAATGAGGTGCAAGAAAGGGAGTTGAACCTTTGTCAACTGCATGCTCCTTAGCTGGATTTTCGCTGCAAATACAGGAGTATCTTTACCTGTTGAGATAAGGAGCTTTATAAACATCTGGGATGGGCCCTGCTTTTATTCACCGCACTCAATTTAACAGATTAAAGAAATACAGGATCCCCCTAAAGTTCCTCTGCTTTGTCTCAGGTGCAAACAGATTAATGACTCTTTGTGTGACAGCCTGGCTATTCTTAAGTGACAGGCAGAGAAACCACAACCCTGTTGTTTAAACACAATATCACTGTCAACAAGTTTGAACAAGTGATGGCCAGGAGAACTGCACAGTGAATTGTCTGCCAGGTGCAAAGCTTGGGGATCTCGAGACATCTAGACAGACTTATGTGCAGTGCTGGGGAGGAGCCGATGGTCATGGTACATGAAGGAACCAATGACATAGGGAAAGGTAGGAGAGAGAGCCTGGCAGCCAAATTTAGGCTGCTAGGTAAGAAATTGAAGTCCAGGACCTCCATAGTAGCATTCTCTGAAATGGTTCCAGTTCCACACCCAGGGCCAGTAAAGCAGGCAGAACTGCAGGGTCTCAATGTGTGGATGAGATGATGGAGGAGGGATTTAGGTTTATTAGGGACTGGAGAACCTTTTGGGAAAGGAGGAGCCTGTACAGAAAGGATGGGCTCCACCTACACCAGAACAGAACCAAATTGCTGGCATGTAAAATGAAAACAGTCATAGAGGAGTTTTTAAACTAAGGGCTGGGGGAAAGCTGGTGTGGAGGAGCTCATGGTTCAGACAGAGACATCCCTTAGGGGAGGATCTATTAAAGTGGACATAGGCGCCAACTCTGTGGAAAGGGGATTCTCTATATCTTAGTGGAGAGGACAGAAGTTGACAAAGTACAGGTAGGAACTGAAGAGCAATAGTCAAATGAAAAAGAGTCCCAGACAATTACGCCACTGGAAGGCAGAGAACTAAATACTGACAAGTTTTATGAGTGCTTGTACACAAATGCTAGAAGTCTAAATACTAAAATGGCTGCCTGGTAGTAAATGAGGATCTTGATATAATAGGCATCACAGAACCTTGGGGGAACGATGATAATCAATAGGACACAGTACTACCAGGGTACAAAATATATAGGAATGAAGTGTTGGTCGTGCAGGTGGAGGAGTGGCACTATGTGTGAAAGAAAGCATAAAGTCAAATAGAATAAACATTTTAAATTAATCAAACTGTACCACAGAATCTCTATGGACAGAAATTCCATGCTTGAATACTCAGAGTATAGAGGAGGAATGTACTACTGACCACCTGACTAGGATGGGGATTGTGAAATGCTCAGGGAGATTAGAGAGGCTACAACAACAGAAAACCCAATAATAATTGGGGATTTCAACTATCCCCATATTGACTGGGTACATGTCATCTCAGGACGGGATGCAGAGATAAAATTTCTAAACACCATTAATGACTGCTTCTTGGAGGAGTTAGTCCTAGAATTCACAAGGGGAGAGGCAATTCTTGATTTAGTCCTAAGTGGCACACAGGATCTGGTCCAAGAGGTGAATATAGCTGAACCATTCGGTAATAGTGACCATAATATAATTAAATTTAACATCCTGATAAGGGGAAAATACCAAATAAACCAACCACAGTAGCATTTTACTTCAAAAAGGGGAACTACATAAATGAGAGGAGGCTAGTTAAACAGAAATTAAAAGGAACAGTCACAAGAGTGAAATGCTTGCAAACTTCATGTAAACTTTTTAAAAACACCAAAAAAGAGGCTCAAACTATATGTATACCACCCCCCCCCCAAAAAAAAAACCTGTAAGAGGACCAAAAAAATGCCACCATTGCTAAACAGAGTAAAAAAGGCAGTTAGAGATAAAAAGGCATCCTTTAAAAATTGGAAGTCAAATCCTACTGAGGAAAATAGAAAGAAGCATAAACTCTGGCAAGTCCAGTGTAAAAGCATAATTAGGCAGGCCAAAAAAGAATTTGTTTTAAGTACATCAGAAGCAGGAAGCCTGCTGAACAATCAGCGGGGTCACTGGACAATCAAGGTGC